GGCTCGCTGACATGATTGATGCTTGTCATTGATCCCACTTGCGTGGATCGATGCTCATGATGTCAATCACAGAATAATTGTCTGGTCCAGACTATATTATTTACAGACCGCCGTCATATAGCTGGAATATTGCTGAGTGCGGCATTAAACAACAAACACACACACACACACACACACACGCACGCACGCACACACACACACACACACACACACACACGCGTGTAACGTGTTTTGGTGGACACGCAGGTCGCTACATAAGCGCAAAAATCAAGAAAGTGACGTTAAATCCCATTTCACTTCACCTCACTTCACATAAATGTTGAAAGATGGAATATTGCTTAATGGGGCATAAACCAGCATTCACCCAATCCTCCATTTATAGGCAGACGTCTTGAACATGTTCTCCTGAAGGTATACGATCTTCAGACAAACCTAATTTACTTCTCTCCTTTCAAGTTTGTAAGAAACAACTTGAGACAATTGATTGATGGAGCACGCTTTGATCAGACTGGGCTACGTACAGTGAGTCACGTTCTGCAATCAGTGATTGGTAGCTGAGTATTTCGCAGCTGCTTTTTTTCCAGATTTCTCATTTAAAAGGATACGTGACGAAAAAAATATAGTCATCTTTTGCAAAAAAAATTGAATATTGAGTTGGATTAGAATATTTTCGGGACTCAGCAGTGTGGTACGTAGGACGCAAATAAAATCGTATTTGGCATTCGCAGATTCAACATTTAAAAGAAGATAATGGTGTACGTAAATATTTCCTTTATGTATTCCATTTTTTAAATACTTTTTCAGTAACTTATCTGTGTGGGTGTGTAGGGGTGTGGGTGTAGGTGTGCGGTTTGACGGGGTTGACCCTCCAGATTCACAGGAGACACTCGGGCGCATTTATCAGCTGTGAAAGCATCGTTGGTCATGATATATGGCCATGTGGGGATTTCGTGCCACAGCATAGTTACGCTGTTAACATTGACGGTATTGGTTTATGTTTAATGCCCCGTGTTGTTACCTGGGCTGCCAGCATTAAGTTACTATTAACTACAGTATTTATAACGTAAGGCTTTACAGAGAGTGGGGTGGCGGGGTAGCCTAGTGGTTAAAGCGTTCGGCGCTAAAGACCCGGGTTCGACCTTTATACGTTACATCCGACTTTTATTGAACACATTGGACCTTTATTTCAACTAATGCATTTTTTCTTGACCGAATGACGCCCATAAATATACACACACACCCACGCCACCCCCCCCCCCCCCCCCCCTCTCTCTCTCTCTTTCGCTGCCATTTTTTTTCATGCACCCCGAATTTAACCGCCCCGCACCCCACCCGCACCCCCATCCCACCCCAAACCCCTCCAACGTATGGCCAGTTCCCACATACACACAAGGTCATTTTCCTGACCTGTACAAAATCATCATAGTTTTCAATAAGGAAAAGTCCATTTCAGAATAATTACAATGTCATGACAGTTTGCAGATAACATTTTATCTATAGCGTATTTATAAAGCATCTGTGTCTGCCTGTTCATGGAAACACCACCAATGTGACTAATACAAAAGTGTCACATGGCGTCTGATCAAGAATGTCATTCGGCATGCTTCGTCTCTTTCCGTGAAATCACTGCCTTCAGGGGAGCACTAATTAACAATATTTACATACATTGACAAGTATCTTCAGGCTATTATTTAACGGAATAATCTATATACCAAAAACGGATGGGTTATAAAGATTGTATTACCTCGTAACGATGGAATACAGTTAATCATACCTGTGATATATGGGTCATTTCAGTTCGGTTCTCAAGATAACAAACGTATATATATTGCCGCCTTGCCTACGCTACGCTCACTGGTCATTACGACCTTAAACTTCATGCAACAGAGCGATCCATCAAAGAAGCCGAGGTTAATGTAGGTGTAAATAAATTTACTCATCTGTCATCTGGGAGAACTGTTTTGGACAGTTCATGGAATTTCACTCAGAACCGCTTCTACAGTTAAATTATTATCGCGGAGACTCCTGAGTACTTTACTCCAAGTATACCACGAGTCTCCTGAAATGAGTATCGGGTGGACCCAGTGAGTAGTTGGTTGGTTGGTTTGTTGTTTTACGCCGCACTCAGCAATATTCCAGCTATATGACGGCGGTCTGTAAAATAAACGAGTCTGGACCTGATTATCCAGTGATTAATATCATGAGCATCGATCCACGCAATTGGGACCGATGACATGTATAAACCAAGTCAGCGAGCCTGACCACCCGGTCCCGTTAGTCGCCTTTTACGACAAGCATAGTCGTCTTTTGACTGGGCAAGCATGGGTTGCTGAAGACCTATTCTACCCCGGATCTTCACGGGTCGGACCCAATGAGTAACCGGCATTGCTGGAAAGTGTCATTTTGCCCCGACGGCAATGATTTAGGTTTTAAAGCCGCATTCTTGAAAGCCAGTTCCTATTTGAAAGGTTGGTTGGTGGGTTGGTTGTAGTTTAACGCCGCACTCAGCAATATTCCAGCTATATGACGGAGGTCTGTAAATATTCGAGTCTGGACCAGAAAATCCAGTGATTGACAGCATGAACATCGATCCACGCAATTGGGATCGATGACATGTATCAACCAAGTCAGCGAGCCTGACCACCCGATCCCGCCTTTTACGGCAAGTATGGGTTGCTGAAGACTATTCTACCCCGGAATCTTCACGGGTCTATTTGAAAGGTAAACAACGATAACATAAATATGTTGAATGACGTCATGTGTGTATGTTGCACACGTGATCAAATAGCAATATCGACATGGGTTATCAGCAATGCCAGCAACGACTACTTTATCACTTTGAGTGTGTTGTTTAACGCCGCACCTTTTTATGACGTCGGTCTGAGAGAGAGAGAGAGAGAGAGAGAGAGAGAGAGAGATGTCACACATTGTTATGCAGGTTTAGTGGACCCATACGACAAATTCACAATATATATTAGGAATGGGTATCTATTCTGTAAGCAGATATATTGTCAAATAATATATTTCATCGTTTTCACAATTCATAGCTGGCAAAGTTGTTGAGGGAGCCGTTCGTATGCAGAGTTGCGTCCCTTAGTCGTACAAGGGCCCAGTATGACCATGGGTTCTAACCCCAGATGCTCCCCAAGCCTTGGTTTATTTAGTGCCTTAGACATATGCTGGTGTGATTTATCAACGTCTGTCAAACTGTATCATTTTAAATTTCTGACCACATTAAGATGACACGCGCCTTGATGTAAGAGAAATACTGTCTAAAATACACCCATCGCGTTCACACAATTGACTCGGATGTGTATGGGCAGCAATGAATGGGTGAATAATGTTTTATGCAGCCGTCAGCACTATTCCAGCATTATCGAGGCATTTAAATGGAGGTGTGATAATAAATGACCACTCCCTTAGCCGTCCCTGACAACAAGTATTGGTAATACCGATGACTTATTTAATTATTTAATAATTATTCTACACCGGGATCCCCACAGTATTAGCAATGTAACAGTGGTATTACACCTTGGTGAACGGTAAATGTCGCGTCGTGAAAATAGTACATAGATAGCTGCGATTTCGCAGTTAGCATATCCGCCCTGTCGCCCACTTTGAAGAACACCAATAGCGACGTAATCTGTGACGCAGTTTTTGTCGGCACTTCCGTGTAGTTTATCACAAGGACTAATTGTTTACTGCACATTTCCCGACTGCTGTCACATCGGCTAGCTCCACTACGTATTGAAAACGTGATAAGCATGCAGGTGGTGATCAATATCATGTGTCGGTGACATTAAAAGCTTACATTTGTGACCAACCTTGTTCGACGATGTATTGGCTGCAAAATGTTATAACTATATTTGTATTAATAGTCATGAACATAAAAAGTAAATAAAAATGATTGACGCAAATCTCTTAATGTCGAGTTCCTGCTCAGGGTGCATATTCCAAGCGATTTGAATATACTGTCACGACTACAGCGGTGATCACGAAGTTGCTTGCGACGATTATTGACAAATGTAATTGTGCACAGTGACTGTTTACGATGGCAGTGAAGATAATGGTTGTTCCAAATTATGAATATTCAAAATATTTACTTGATCGTAATGTTGTATACATTTTTCTATTTGGTCTACGGATCGCCGATACAAATGTTGAATATAATTAAGAATGAGAGGAAAGCCATTGTTTCATTCCCGCTAAGGTTTATACATACTTCACTGAAAAAAAACCAAAATAGTAGAGAAGCGGTACTAGGCTCTTGTTAAAGGCCCCAAGCGTAAACGGTATACAAAAGAGAATTTTTGCGTTTAATGACTGTTGTTGAATTCCTTCAATGTGGTTGAAAAACTGGTCATACATGTTAATTTGTTCACCAACTGTACTATTTAGTGACCATTTTAGCAAAATGTGTTTTTACAATTTTATCTTTATTTTTATTTCGACCTCTGACTTTTAACGTTCTCATAGAAACCTTAAACCAAGTTGTTAAAAAATGAAAGGTTTTAACATGACATTGTGCCAAAAGTCATTAAATAAGTCGATCAGCGCTATTATTTATCAAACATGCTTCAGATTTCTCATTGCTGTTGGGCCAAATGAATCATTAAAAACAGGGACAAATCTGCGAGATTGAAAAATGCAAATGTAAATTTCATAAACCACGTAGCACACGAGATTGGATATTTGTACTGTTATATAGCTGTTGGCTGAGCGAGTTTAAACCTGATGTACATGTATATATTTTAAGAAATACACATATAAACGATTGCGACTTTAGAACTAGCTCGGACATGCCTTACATACTTCTTTGTTATAGGTATTTTTTGGTCTGGCCCTTTGTCTCTTCAGCCTAAAGCGATCCCGTTGATTTGACCTAGATACTGGCGATCAGCTGCGAGAAATAAACAAATTCACGTGGTATCAGTTTCTATTTTTAGGATACTACTCACACCAATCAAATCGCCCAAAACAGGTCATGTGACACAGATGAACAACAATGGTGCGCGATGCATACATGTCAATTGAAACATAACTGCAAGAACTGAGAAGGTGCTTACGGTCGTTTGTGGCGATATTTTAACACAATGGATGTCGTCTGAGGCCGCGGCGAGTGTTTGGAGACAATATACTGCCATGTAGAAACGCATGGCGAGCCATACGGCGGAACAGACATAGGTGAACACGTACGTCAAGATACACGAGCCTGTATCCTGCAATCTGCTTCGCGAGAAGATAATCTTCGACAGTGATTAAGCAATTAAGCTGTTTCAACATGGGGTTCTTTCACCAACTAAAGCTATTATTATGGAAGAATTTCACTCTGAAGATTCGGAGGCCGGTGAGTAGGATTGACAGTGATGTAATCAGCATATATATATATCGAGGAGTGTTAAAATTGTTCATAAGTGTTGACATTGCTATCCTTCTCTAGCACAGGTTCAGTGATCGAACGAGCTCATGCGAAGGTTAACCGAAAGTCTTAGGATTGATATACCTACATATCGAACATATCGATCAGGTTTCTGGGAATTTATGACAGCTAGATCGTCAGTTAATAGATTATTGTGGTGGTTTACGATAACTGCACGAGTGAACAAGCAGAGTTACCTTAGCAGGGTTATCAGCTGGTTATGTTTTGATGGTTACAGGCCAAAGACGATCATGATTCGCGGTGTTTATGAAGAATTTCGATAATAATCATTACAGATGAGAACACTGTAGAATGCAGATTTTAGAAGAAATATTTAGTCAATGCACTATATTTGCTCATGCTATTGTCCACTGGGTTAAGATGTGCTTACATACATTTTCATCTGATCTGATACTTTAGCCATAACATTGCTAACAGTACAACCCACATTCACATATATCAATGCTGTACCAAATGCATGATCAATATTAATTTATGTGAAATATGATTAACCTTATTCGTTATACATTGAAAAATGTGTTGTGAATGTTTTGTATTGAATTTCTGTTGGGCTTGACATATTTTTCTTATCTTGTGGTTGATCTGCCCTGTATGTGTTGACCACATACAAATGTGCTTGCAAAGGGTTAAATTGCAAGTATACAAGACAAGCTAACTGGTATGGCACATTAGTCATGTTAGTTCATCACGAACCAAAAACATAAAAATAAGCTAAAAAGTCTTTTTAGTTTATGTTTTTTCCTTCCCACGGTGCCTACCCTGTAAACCAGCGTTAGAAATTGGCACTAGTCCTGTAGTCCTTGCCAAAATGCCCAATAGTTAAGGTATCATAAGGACCAGTAGAAATTTGCCACTTTAATCATGTTAATGGGTTTTTTACTATATGTTATCATTATAAGGACTAGTGGACTAAAACTGTTAGTTTCTACCACTGTAAACCTAGAAATGAAAACAGACGTCTTAATTAACCTCATAATTCCTGTCAACGTTTTATTATTATTTGGCAGCATGGCCAGACAAATATGAAATACAAATTTAACATGTTTAACCCACAAAAATCTAAGCCAATAAGAGCTAAAAGAAATTGAGTTTTACAATACTGTATGTTGAATATTATGTCTTTGTTGACAATGACTTTAATTATGTTTCCTGAATTAGATTTCAAATAATTTCATTTCTCTGAATGTTAACTAAGTATGGCAAGGTATTGATTTGAAAAGTGAACTATTAAATCTGCTCCCAATTTAGGCATGATAGGGTGTGAGTCAGATGAAATTAGGAAGCAACTCTCTCAACGTCAGAACCTATGACTCACAAATTGGCTCAGTGGATGCACTTTTCATGCAGCTTACCCCAACAAGATGAAGAACGGCCTGCACATTGATGAATGATGCTATGCACAGAGCATTCGGCAGTTTCAATTTGTTGGATATCCAAAACTATCCTACATTGCCCCTCAAATAGTCTACCAAATATAAAACGCCAGAGATTAACCATTCTCAATTACCTGCCGAAACAGATTTCATTGGGCGTAAGAGGCAAAATAGGGGTGAAAAATATATGAATGGATCACTGAAAATCAGTGATGACACCAGGTGTCCATGTAAAGGGTATGCAGACGTAAGTCTGCTGCGTACAAGATGGGGATGGTTTTACGCCGCTTTGAGCATTCTTCCAGCAATATCACGGCGGGGGACACCAGAAATGGGCTTCTAACATTGAGTAATGAATCAAGGTCTCTTGCATAGCGAGTGAACACTTTAATCACTAGGCTTGCCCACCACCGCAAGTTAAGAGAAATAGGTAGAAATATGGCATCGGTGTGGGGCAGTTTTTGTCTTGACCCAACTAAAGCATTTGTAAAGGCTGTTTTGCCACAGACAAATGGTGAATTGTCATAAAACCTTGGTGTCTTGTACATAATTCTGTTAAAACTTTACAAAATATCTTTTTGAAGATAACTCCGACATTATCATCATATGTTCATATTGTTAAATTTGTTTTAAACTTTCTGGATCGAAATGTGCATAACTTTATCTGTAGCCTATGTTTATATTGTGATTTTTGGCCGTTCTTCATATTGAACTTTATTTTCATGTTCATTATACCTGAGGTTGCCCAGGTGGCCCTAACCGTCTATGGTGCCACAATTCACTGTGCAGAGTTGCATCAGTACACCAGAAACCTATGATCATGGGTTCGAGTCCGGGTTCACCCCGGCCATGTTTCTGGGTTTGTCAGCACCATACCTGTGGTTGTGGGTGTCACCAAAGTGGCAAACGTCTGAGACCTGCATCTACATGATCTATTCAGTCTTTCCTTTAATCTAGCCGCGGCGCCGTTGTTTAACTGGAATACTGTTCAAAGTGGCGCTAAACCCAATTCATTCACCCTCTTTCTTTCCTGAATACACATTTTCCAGTATATGTAACCATGGTAACATGCAATCTACCAATCGTGAAATTTTGATAAATTTAATATGATTAAAATTTAATTTAGTTTTCAAACGACCATGCTTTTTCACATACCAGTGGTCTCATGATCATCATTATTTGTGTCTGTTTTATATTTTGTATCCGATAAAACCATGTGCTGAATTAATATGATCTGAAGGACATGGACCATTTGGAAAATAAGAATGGATACCACATTGGGACATAAATCACAGATGACATGTTTGTGATGGCAGGTTGAATTGATCAGGAATGCTTGTAGCATCCGAGCATGGTTGTTGAGTTAAATAATTAGCTTTATCACATGTAGCCTGTTGTGACCAGAACTAGATGATCAAGGATTAAGATGTGGTGTTAGTATGGGTGCAGTCACAGACCTGGGCAGATCAATCACCTTGAACGTTTGAACCCACTTTTATCTAACCGAAAGGTCAGGCCAACTATGTATCTGAATGGGTTTGGGTCAGTAGTCAGTGTGTTTGCCCATGACACAGAGTGCCTTGGTTTGATTCCGCACATGGGTATGATGGATACAACATTTATGGTGGTTGGTAGCATAATGGTCAGTGCGTTTGCCAGTCACACATAATTCTTGTGTTTGATTCCATGTATCATAATAATGGATATAAAGTTGTAGACGGCTGTTAGCATAGAGGTCAGTGTGTTTGCCAGTCACACATCATTCTTGGGTTTGATTCCATGTATCATAATAATGGATATGAAGTTGTGGACGACTGTTAGCATAGAGGTCAGTGTGTTTGCCAGTCACACATAATTCTTGGGTTTGATTCCATGTATCATAATAATGGATATGAAGTTGTAGACGGCTGTTAGAATAGGGGTCAGTGTGTTTGCCAGTCACACATAATTCTTGTGTTTGATTCCATGTATCATAATAATGGATATAAAGTTGTGGACGGCTGTTAGCATAGAGGTCAGTGTGTTTGCCAGTCACACATCATTCTTGGGTTTGATTCCATGTATCATAATAATGGATATGAAGTTGTAGACGGCTGTTAGAATAGGGGTCAGTGTGTTTGCCAGTCACACATAATTCTTGTGTTTGATTCCATGTATCATAATAATGGATATAAAGTTGTGGACGGCTGTTAGCATAGAGGTCAATGTGTTTGCCCGGTCAAACTCAAATGATTGGGGTTGATTCCATACATGTGTATGATTGTTTTAACAGTGCTGCTGCTGCTGCTGATGATGATGATGATGAAACTTGTGATTTTCTTTACTGTTGCAATTAAGATGAACTCTTGACATAGCTCTGCAAAAGGTGTATACATTTATCACCTGGTATGTGAGGATTGGTTGATATCTTAACATACTCTATGTAAAATAAGTTGAAGAATGATCAAAATTTGTAAAATGTTTTTAAAAATCTAGATATGACAAAAATATACCTTACTCTCGTTGTGAGATGGTAAACTATTTTAGAAAGTGAAACTATTATGTCTGCATATTGTTGTCATGGAGAAATTCATGTCTGTTCAAAGGTAGCATAAGCTGTGTGACCTTACACATGGCATACAATACTCCTTGTCCAGTTGGACTACAAGCATAGATTACACTGCTGAGCTTTTGTCAATATGGAGATTTCAGAGTTGATTAGGCTTTTAAAGCAACCCTAAAGTGGGGATTCCAGGTTAGAATAGGTCCCCAGCACCTTATGTTTAAGGCGACTAAATGGATCAGGTAGTCAGACTCATCGACTCGGCAATATTCAATCTATCTATAGGACAGCAGCTTGTAAAAATATCAGATCTGGACCACACATTTTCTGCTAAAAGGTTAAAAGAATAGTCGGGAAGCCTAGTGGTTAAAGCGTTTGCTCATCACGCCGAAGACCAGGGTTAATTCCAGACAGGGGTACAATGTGTAAAGCCCATTTCTGGTGTCCCCTGCCGTGACAGCTGGAATATTGCTAAAAGCAGGGTAACACCCAATATCACACACTCACACTAATAGTAATACCATAGGATTGAGTGGGAGAAAAGGCCCAACACAGTTTCACGATTGTTTTTGAAGGAAAGGATGTAGAAATAAGATTAGCCCTTGCATCTTTCATTGTCCAGAAATTCTTTTGTTAAACATGTGTGAAGATCCGGATTAGAATTGATCTTGTCGTAAGAATTGCTTGTCTTTTAAGGTGACTAACACTATCGAGCTCACTGACTTAGTTGATGCATGTCATCATATCCCAATTTCCTTAGATTGATGCTCTTATGATGTCTATCATTGTGTTGTCAGGTTCAGACTATTCAGTTTATAGACAGCCTTCATATAGCTGGAATATTGCTTAGTGCAGCATTAAACAACAAATAAACTTTGTTAAAAAACAATAAGCAATGTTTTCTACAATAGCCTATTCCTTATGTTGAATTCAATACAACCTGTCTCAACTTGCTTAGAGAATTGAAAAAGAAAAGGGACATAGGGAGATTT